TTAGTTAAAAGTTAAATAATAAAGTTGAAATGTTTATAATTTAACTTAATCAATCCTAAATAATTATTTTTCAACTTAACTTAAATTAGTTATTTTTTAAATAACAACATGTTAAGCTTAACTTTTTATTTAAATTAAGATTTTTCCATATTGTTCCATTTTTTATCTTGTATATTATAATTATTTAAATCAAATGTTAAAAAATTATAATACATTTAAGCATATAAATAATACTTTTTAAAATTGATTTTTAATTTAATTTACTTCAGTTTTAATTTTTATATAAGCCATTAATTTTAACTTAATTCAATTAGAAAGAATTAACTTACTCAACCTTGATTTTCATTTTGTAAAAATATGATATAATAGCAATTTACATTGTCAACAGATAATCTATTTTATTATCGACAATTCTATATAGTTATCAACAGTTGCAAAAATAATAACTGTTGTTATCTAAGTGTAATATTTTTCACCGAATAAATCTAACCTCTTTAGTTCAATTCATATATGTGTGCTCGTATAATCTAAATTCTGAGTATCAATTTTTCTTCTTTCAAATAAATTTAATCTATAGGTAATTCGGGATCTCTCAAAAGAATTCTCTTCTCGAACGGAATTCGACGGGTAACGTCACACGCCGCACGCGGGCGCCATTTTCGCTCGGCCACGTCCTAACTTCATGGCAGGAGTGTCGTGTTTAGGTGCCTGTAGTGTAATCCCAGCGATAATTTCACACTCGCAGTAAACGTGGTGAACGGTCAACGACGACAAGATGGTACGTAGAGAAACAAAGCAACGAAACGGTATGTAGGCAAATCGGCTCGCAAACGATGCTATCGGCGGCACGCACTTGCATGCTTCTCACGTTGACATTCGAGAAACGTCAAAATATCCGCTCCCTTCACGGAATAAGGAAAGACCCATCACGTAGTTTTCCTTCTTCGAAAAATGTACGACTTTTTCTCGCATGAATTTTAGGAAAACTTGGAATTAGAGAAATCCTTTCCTTCCTTAATACAAATTTCTAATGTTTGAAACAAAAGCTAACTTTTGTTAAGTAAAGTAGAAAAATCCATATACGGATTTCACTATAGAAGTGTAATTGAAGATCTTTTCCTGTAGCCTCTGAGGTTGGACATCAAGCGAAAGCTGACAGCCAGGTCAGACAGAGTGAAGAGTGTGGATCTCCATCCGACCGAGCCATGGATGCTGTGCTCGCTGTATCAGGGCAATGTCAACATCTGGAATCACGAGACGCAGACCTTGGTAAAGACGTTCGAGGTCTGCGATCTGCCAGTACGAACGGCAAAGTTTGTGCCACGCAAGAACTGGGTCATTACTGGCTCTGACGACATGCAAATCAGAGTGTTCAATTATAATACCTTGGAGCGTGTTCATTCGTTCGAGGCACACAGTGATTATGTCAGATGTATAGCTGTGCATCCAACGCAACCATTTATACTTACCAGTAGCGGTAAGTTACACTGCTAAATTGATAATTTTTATTTATCTGTCAAGTTTATCTTTCTTATGATTCATATTACAACTATATTGATTTTCTTGTAGATGATATGTGGATAAAATTATGGAATTGGGAAAAGTCTTGGATCTGTCAGCAAGTATTCGAAGGTCATACACATTATGTCATGCAGATTGTATTTAATCCAAAAGACAACAATACTTTTGCCAGTGCGTCCTTAGACAGAACTGTCAAAGTATGGCAGCTTGGCTCGCCCACGGCAAATTTCACTCTTGAGGGTCATGAGAAGGGTGTCAATTGTGTAGATTATTACCATGGCGGTGACAAACCGTACTTGATATCAGGAGCTGATGACAGATATGTCAAGATATGGGATTATCAGAACAAGACCTGCGTACAGACCCTGGAGGGTCACACACAGAATATCTCCGCGGTGTGTTTCCACCCAGAATTGCCAATAGTTCTCACGGCCTCGGAGGACGGTACCGTTAGAATATGGCATGCAGGAACGTACAGACTGGAGTCCTCCCTCAACTACGGCTTCGAAAGAGTATGGACCATCGCATGCATGCGAGGTTCCAACAACGTCGCCATCGGATATGACGAAGGTAGCGTTATGGTGAAAGTCGGCCGAGAGGAACCGGCCGTTTCGATGGATTCGCTGGGTGGAAAAATCGTGTGGGCGCGCCACAGCGAGATTCAGCAAGTGAATCTGAAGGCGTTAGGCGAAGAAGCGCAGGACGGAGAACGACTGCCATTAGCCGTCAAGGACATGGGCGCCTGCGAAATATATCCGCAAACTATACAGCACAATCCGAATGGTCGGTTTCTGGTGGTCTGCGGCGATGGCGAATATATTATATACACGTCGATGGCATTGAGGAACAAAGCGTTCGGACAGGCGTCGGAATTCGTATGGGCGGCGGACTCTAGCCAATACGCAGTGAGGGAGAGTAATACGACAGTTAAGGTCTTCAAAAACTTCAAGGAGAAGAAAAGTTTCAAACCAGACTTTGGAGCGGATGGTACGATATTTTTTATCTCTATTTCTTTATCTGTCGACTTGACTTTTGTATATCATTGTTGCTCGTAGGTATCTTTGGCGGATTTTTACTCGGTGTATCGTCTGGATCGGGCCTCTCTTTTTTCGACTGGGACACATTAAAATTGGTCCGTCGCATAGACATACAACCTACACATGTATATTGGGCCGAGAATGCCTCACTAGTGGCATTAGCCACATCAGATCAATATTTTATACTGAAGTATCATGCGGATGCTGTTGCTAATGCCGCGGAAAACACTGAAGATATTGAAAATGCATTTGAGGTACATCGTACGCTTAATTACTCAAGCAACTTTTTTATTTCCTGTTTCTAATTTTTATAAATAACATTTCCAGATGGTAGCGGAGATGAGCGAAGTAGTAAAGACCGGCTTGTGGGTCGGTGACTGCTTCATTTACACTAATAGCGTCAATCGTGTTAATTATTTCGTCGGCGGCGAAGTGGTCACTGTCTCCCATCTGGACAGACCAATGTATCTACTGGGATACGTACCGAGAGACAACAGATTATATCTTTGTGACAAAGAATTGTCTGTCGTCTCGTATTCTTTACTATTATCGGTGTTAGAATATCAGACCGCAGTTATGCGAAAAGATTTCGAAACTGCCAATAGAGTATTACCAACTGTCCCGAAGGAACATCGAACGCGAGTAGCTCACTTTCTGGAAAAACAGGTGTGTAATTTAATTTGATAATCATTGCCAATAATTTATAGTCATTAACAATAATTTAATAAGAAGCGTTTTCATTTTTATCTCTATTTTACAGGGCTTCAAAGAACAAGCTCTGGCAGTATCGACGGATCCTGAGCATAGATTCGAACTAGCGCTTGCGCTGGGAAATCTCGCGACCGCGCACACTCTCGCCAAGGAGGCGAACAGTCAACAGAAATGGCGACAATTGGCTTCTCTCGCAACGCAAAAAGGAAAACTATGTTTGGCGCAAGAATGCCTTCATCAAGCACAAGATTTCGGTGGCTTGTTATTACTAGCCACTAGCACAGGAAACGCAGATATGATTCAGAAGCTCGGCACGGTGGCAGACGAAACGGGAAAAAATAATATTTCTTTCTTGTCGAACTTCATATTAGGCGATGTGGACAAGTGTCTCGACATCCTGATTAAAACGGACAGAATTCCTGAGGCTGCGTTCTTTGCTAGGACATACGCACCTAGTAAAATCTCGTCCATTATCAAACTATGGAAAGAAAAGCTTTCAGCGGTGAGCGAGAAAGCAGGACAGAGTTTAGCGGATCCCGAACAGTATGAGAATCTTTTCCCCGGATACAGAGAAGCTTTGAAGGTGGAAAAATTCCTACGGGAAGAAAGCAAGAAGAAGATTCCAGCGTCTGCATTTCCCACTGTCACGGTATGTGCGTTATTTGTAAATATTAGCAATATTAGCAATAAGAGTTGAATATATGAGAATTTTAGTAATCGAAATGAATCGTAGCTTTGAGGTACGCGATTAGTAGCGTGTTAAAGCGATCGATTGAAAACAATAAACTGATCGCATTAATATGACGCAAATCGTCTCGCTGAAACCAATCCGTTACTCGTCTCAATCAGTCAGCAATCTCAAACGATCGGTATAGTAAGGTGCCGTGAAAGAGTTGAATAATATTTTTATAGGCACTCGTAATCACATGATAAAATCGAGTCATGCTCGTTAGCGATAATAGAAATCTCATATCCCTGCATCTTTGTTATCGCATCGTTACAGCTTAGGAAAAATATATAAAAAAATCGATCTTGTGTTTGCTGATAAATTTTTCTTTTTATAACCGTGTCATTATGAGACAAAAATAATAATTTATATAATATTCACAAAATATTTTACAAAATATATATTTATGTATATATGTATTAAATTTACGTTAACGCATTTATAAAGAGATTGTATGAGACTAAAAATTGTGAATTAATTTTGTAGCCTAATATTGAACGGAAACCATTGGAGGAGATGTTGGTTGCCGAGCAATCGGGCACATTTCAATATAAAGGCAGTGTGAATAGTCCCTCCGAGACTGAGGAAAAATTGATCGACAGATTGCAAGTTCTTTCAGTATCAGCGAAGGACAACCTCTTCCTAAATAAACCAACCACTTCCATCGTAAAGCAAGAAGTACCTGAGAAAGCAACGACGAAGCCCGCGAGTAGTTCCAGGCCTCTCACAGTGGATGACGACGATCTGGACATCGATCTAGAAATTGACGATAATATCGATACTACTGTGAGTATGGCGTGATAAAGTATTATAAAGTTTCTGTAATTTTAATACTATTCCATACATATGTCTCATTTGCTTTCTGGTGTCGAAATGCTTTTAATTATGAATTTAAAAAACGATCGAGATTTTTTTAACAATAATATATATATATATATCTTGCAATATAAACATCTAACTTCGTAATCATAGGATCGTAGAAGATAAGCCGAAAACGAAGAAGGCGCGAACAAATAAGAGTTGGGGGGCATACAATTAGGCGATGGTTTAATGCTCTTAAATATGAACGTAACTTTAGACGGGTATAGCATTACCAAAACACGGCAAGAAAGGGGCTACGCGGCGTATATATGCCATACATGTATAAATCCCATGCACGTGCAGAATACACCGAAATGCACGTTGTATTTGCACAACTCCCTCGTGTGTATTATATATCATGGAGCAAATACGCGTGTAACGCGATTAAATATGTCGCTAAAAAAAGAACGAATCGTACTATGTGATAAAAGTCTACGTAACAGTAGTGCGAAAAACTAACGAAACGGCTTACACATCCTATTCTATTCGTAGATGATCTCGCGTGATCGATGATCACGCTGCGAAATTAATGAAAATATTTTTTTAATCTGACTTACTCGAGAAAAATCTGTACTTATCTGTATTTAACTTTAGACATGTAAAAGTCTCATTTATACGTATATTTATATACGTACTTCATTCGTATATGTGTGTGTATGCAATGCGAAAATCGACAACAGATCATTAAGCTCGATCCCGTGTGTAACTGATATGAATGTGGGAGAAGCTGGTACACACGCACGATCTCTCTCTATCTTTCTCTTTTTCTCTGCGAACTTTTGCGAAACGCCTCGGGAGCTTGTTTGCTGCGAGGCAGTCACGCCGCATTTTGTTTACAGCCTTGTTGCCATAATACTCGACTCCGGAGTCGAACCGTACTCCTCCTACTATAAGGTTCCGACCATTACTACGTTTTGTCACGCTCTACCTCCCTTTTTTTTCCATTCACTCGCGATGGTGCATTTAGGAATACCTACGTTTCGATATTTCTCTCTTTTAAAGTTAAAGCACGAGAAAAATTATACGGAATCCAAATTATTTTGTAAACATTAGTCACGTAACAGCTTGCTTAAACATTGAGGAATATTTGTAAAATAATTGAACTATTTTCTACTTTAGGATGTCAATCTCGATGATGATCTTCTCGAGGAGGATTAACTATTGAAACGGAAGATGACATACAACCATCGTATTTTCATTCTTCTTCTATCATCAGTCATTCCCAGCAAGAAAAGAAGAAAATGATGAGAGTTATTTAGAACCAAGTATTAAAATGACAAAATGAAATTTATCTCTGTGCGCAAGTGTGTTTATATCACTGTATAAGTTAACGAAGGTAATGCAGCGCGAATTTTGCCGATTGTCACAGGTAATTAAAAGTTAAATATATTGTTAACATAACAAGGGAAGTATAATATGCTTTTATGTCGCATTCTCTCATCTCCGTTTTACGAATGTCTCTTGATCCCTTGTTCCCAAAGCGTAAACAATAGATTCCCGACATCTTTGATTTCTCAAAAATGCATAGTGTGGCGTATCTCAAATATTATAAAGCAAATATAGCGATGATTTTTCGAAATGTGGAATCAGTCTTTATTAGCAAAGATTTTTCTATTCTTATCTAGTTACTTCTTAATAAACTTTTAATTAAACTTTTAAATTTAATTAATTTTAATTTAAAACCAATAAGCTTTTAATTGCGAATCTAGTGGAAAAAAAAATAAAACCTTTTTTGTAAATAAAGTTTGATATGAATAAATGATGTAATTTCTAGTTCAAAGCTTTAATGAGATATTAAATATGCTTTGCGAAGCCACGAATATCGAACGTTGAACTAATTCGCGCGAAGGGATGGACTCGAAATTTAGCAAGGAACATTTCCATCGAAACATCACTCGATATACATCGGTATATCAGCTGCGCGTATTTGTCACGTTGCATTTCCCTTCGGATTTTCGGACGGCCGAGAGTGCGTGCGTAAAAGCCGGAGTTGAATCGATACACTCGTACGTGTCACAAGGTGCCGAAGAAAAACAAAGAGACGCAGTTAGCACGAGCCGTACGTGCTCGACCGTACACTCACGAAGGAGGGAACAAGCGTACGTGTTGAGGCAAAACATATTTGTTATTAACGCCAACAGGAAAAGGAGATGCAAAGAGTTAAACTTATCTGAGTAACTGAGGAAATGGGATGGGAAATCGCTATCACTTTTTTCGAAGAAAGAGTAAAATATTGAATATATATATATATATATATATATGTTATTTTTTTTTTATTTT